ATATATATGTAAATATATATATGCAATATATATATGTAAATATATATATGCAATATATATGTAAATATATATATATATATTTACTGACTTACTGATTCACTTATTGTAATTTTTCAGGTTATGGGTTCTCAGATTTGGTATTTTACAAATATGGTATAGTATAGCACTCTCCACAAATTTTTCTAAGTACTATTGCTAATAAAATCTCTTTTAGATTTGAAGGCAACTGGATATGTTAGACATGGCAGAGATATGTTCCTAATTTTATTGTCATAAAGCCATAGTTTGGAAATTATTAACATTTTGGCGGCATCCTGAAAGAATTTTAATGCTTTTCACACAGCCCTTCCTAATATTAAGGAATGTTACCTATTTTAATAAAGGAATAACCATATGAGAATTAAGTTACAGATAAATCATATGTAGATCTTTCCATTGTAAGGGATATATTTAAAAATTATATGTTGTATATTTCTCAAAGAAAGAAATAGTATGTATAAATAAACACGATGAAAGTGATATTCTAGTTCAGTAAAATATTTGTAAACTCTACAGTTTTGAGGTATACAGGTATATCCATGTTTTGTAATACCAGAAGTATTAAGGAGTACGTTGAAAACTAACCTTTCCAGCTGCAGACAGTGCACTGACCAATTGGAATTGAACTTTCTCCAGCACTACAATGATCACAGTCCTACTATTTATTTTTCATTTGGCGCATTATAATGCTTTATTGAATTCTAGAATATTGATTAGTTTTTGTTTCTATAAAATGTCATATGGTACACTGAGAGGAAACAATCAAGAGGAATATGATTTTCAATGGACTTTCATAGGGAATATAATTTTCTTATATTTTCAGTTTCATAGTATGGTTATAATTATAAAATAGGGTGGATGTGAGTAGAGAAGAATGATTTTATGGAAAATAATCAAAAGATGGTTGTTAGAATATTATTTTCTTAAAATGTTTCTTTTTCCTTTTTCCTTAGTTATGAAGTTCCTTCTGCCAATATGCTTTTAGATATTCATCCCACATAACTATTTGTTAATTGATAATTTATTTTTTGTGTTATTCTTAGAGTTTATTTGCAATGTAGTATTCAGTCCTTTATTTTTTCATCATCTTAAATGTGTGGTTGATAGGAATAATTAACTTTTAATTAAAAGATTATCATCATTGCTCCTTACCTGTGAAACAATTAAATTTTGAAGAGCCACACTTAATCATGGCTGGGGATGAAGTCCTATTATACAATTCACAATCTATCCCCTTTTAAATGATCTCTCTTTGATGCCCATAGCTCAACAGAAAGTGGAAAAAGTACTTAATGATTTTGTATAACACAAGGAAAATATCAACAGATGTATCAATCTCAGGGTATCTCAACTTGAGGTGGGTTGGGTAAGGAGCAGAGATTATACAACAGAAGGGGGAGCTGAACCACTTTCAAATTCCATTATAACTCATGGCTCTCATTATTTCATTCAGTGCCCTTCATTCATTTCCAGGGGACTCACTGATAACCTATTCAGAGATAAATGTTAGTTTTGAGGATTACTTGCTATTTGAAGTTGACCAAGTCGTTGCTTCATCTTAATACAGAAAATTAACAGGAGGTTGTGATAGAATATGCTTCCATTAATTATTCTTTTTTGCAACACACATGTGGGATTAGTCAAGGAACGGGTGGTTTGTGAACCAAAAAATTCTACTTTCCTCCAAGTATATCCTTAAGAGACATTTCTCAGATAAACCAATAAGATTGATAAAAGAGAGCCATGCTAATTGAATCAGGTCTGAGGCCCCAGAGCCTCAATGAGTTTGGGTCAGAGCTACTCTATATCCAGTTTACAGAACAGATTGTGTACACCTTGCCTCGTCTCAAGTAGGGATTCCCAGTAGTAACTTGAGATTAGCATGGTGAGAGTAGTTACAGTATGGAAATTGATGACTATTACAAGTGAGGGTTTTGTTTTGTTTTTCCTGAAGAAAAGCCACCTCTGTTCCCAACCCTTGTCAGACTTCACCGGAATGGCAGCTCAAAAGGACTCTCAGGAATCATAGTGAGAAAACCATTCACGTTGAATAGCGATTATTCTACATAAAATGTGGGAATAGATAAACCCTTTTATTGAAACAAAGTAAGCCAATGCTAAATTAGAAAATTCTGCTAACAGTCCCACTTTTCACTCTTTCCAAGCTGCTAAGAATAAGCATGTTTTTTTCTGTTGTAAAGCAGTGTGGTATAAGCCAGGGCTTAGTAACACACATCTGGAGCTGACTCCGTGAAATAAAGGGAGTAGTCGGTACTTGAGACATATTTCTATAATGTGGTTTCTTACATCTGGTGTTGAGACCAGAGCAGCTCCCTTAAATAAAAAAATTGTCAGATGAGTGATCCTTAGGGAGTAAAAGAGGCAGGGTGGAGGAAGACCTCTGGAACTCCTTCTGGAAAAGCAAACCTCCCAGATTTAGTCGCTCCACCCTTCACTGAACAACACACCATGAAGTCTCAGCTGTGTGACTCAGAGTGGCCAGTGTCTGTCTCTTCCCTGGGCTTCCAGGGTTTAATATCCCACTGATGTAGCCAGAAGACCTACAGCCAAGTGACCCAAAGCATTCCCTCTTCTCTCGGGTTAAAAATGTTGCTTCTGAAGACCTCCCAATGAAGAATCAACTGTCATTGCTGTATTTAATTTTCCTACACAGTAGTTCAGTTGCCAGGTCAACCTCATAAATACATGACTGAATTCTTAAAGAAATGACAGGGGCAGAAATTGTATACCCTCATTCTAATGTTCCTTGTAGGTGATTCTTTTAAAGCAGGGTGGATAGCTATGTTAGCAAACTGCCCCAACTAGCAAGCACAAGTCAGTGGGAAGAATCCTGCCAATTGTGTCATAATGTTTTTCCATAAGTGATTCAAGTTTGTGGAAGAAACAAGACACCTTTGGTATGTTGCAAAGGGCAGCCAAAGACTGCAGATTCTCTCTGTGGCTGAGCTAACATATTACATTATTCTGTTGCAACGTGTATAAAGCTTCTGTAGAAAATTGTTTTTGCTTATACTATCTTGTTAAGCAGAACCTAATAAAAGTGTTCTGTTTTAATATCTGTTTATAAGTGGACCAGAACCATCTGCTTTAATCATTATGCTTTACAGGTCTGGTACCTGGTGCAGCAAAAGAACACAGAAACTTCATGACCCACCTAGTTAGTGTTGGCAAGAAAAAAGAACTTTATTGCTGGCACTTGTGTTGATTCCATGCATCTTTTCATGGTTCTTACATTAGAAATATTTCTATTCTTCAAGGATGTTTAAAACACTGTGAAGAAAGTTTACAATAAAATAAAATACATAAGGCATATAGACATGAAAAATTCATTATATGTTGTTTCATATCATTATTCAAGACACATGAATAAAATAGACAATAAATATTATTGAAGTCCAGAAGACAGAAAGACTGCCATGGGACAGCCTTCTCTAGAGAAGGCATATAAACAATAAGAGACTGAGCTGGCCCTGAAGGCAGTTGGATTTGGATAATTTGGGTTAGGAAGGAAGGATGTTTCAGCTTACATTGTAAGGCAAAGATAGAAATTAATAAGTCCTTCTAGAAGCTCTGTATGAGCTAATAGGACTGGAGCAGAGCAGTCTTGTCGGCAATGGAGGATAAATGCAAATAGAAAGAGGACCAACTGGTGCATAAAAGTACAAGTCTTCAACTATGTAATTCTTTAGGCTTCAAATAAAGGGCCTTGACTACCAAGGGTTTCAGCAAGGGGATCACTTTCTCTCAGAAAACAAGTTTCAGAGATCAATGCCAGAAACTAACCCAGATTCTGGAATGCCAAATGTCCATGTATTTATCCATATATCACTCATCTTTCAAGTGTTAGGTCAAGTTCCTCTTGACCATGTCAGTCTCTCCTTCTCTGACTAGTTTTGCTTTTATTTTCCAGTCTTTAATCTCAACTCCTACCTCCTTCTTCTACTTTGTGCTCTATGACCCAGCAGTGCCTCAGGAATTATAGTTCCTTAAATATTCCAACATTTTTATCCTATCTTTAAACCTTTCACCAACCCTGAAACCCTTAAGTTCTCTAGTATTCTGAATTCATTTAAAAAATATTTGCTCTTAAACATATATGACAACTGATCACAAACCAACATTTGTTATTTATTTTGTTTGTCTTAAATTATTATTATAAGACTTAACTGTTATTTTGCTTTGAATATACCCATCTTCCTTACTAGAATACTTCTTTCTAGAAGATAATGGTAGCTTCTTATTCTTATGTCTCCTACTGGGCACATCAAAATGCTTTTTGAATAAAAAGTGAATAAAATTAGTCGGTTAAGTGTTGGACTCTTGATTTTGGCTCAGGTCATGATCTCTCAGTTCATGAGATTGAGCCCCGTGTCGGGCTCCATGCTTATAGTGCAGAACCTGCTTGGGATTCCCTCTCTCCCTCTCCGTTTATGCCCCTCCCCCCCCAAATTAAAAATTTAAAGAATGTGTTCAAAGAATGGATATTCTATTCAATATATTAATATTGAAAACTAGGATCATGGGTGTGCTTTGTGAGGAGCATCAGAGGATGGAAGACATCAAGAATACCTAAAAATAGGAAACAAATTAGGTGAGGACGACAATTGCTGATACGTCCTTAACATGGCATTGTTATTGTTCCCAGCATTTCACCCAGCACTTTAGTAATCAAAATACTTAAAATGTCTTTACTCAAAAAAGGAGTGCCTGTCACTGCTTGATAAACAGAATGCTAGAACTGGAGAAAAACAACTTGAAGTTTAACCCAAACTACTTAATGAAAATTTGCAGAGCTAAATCAGCTTTCTAAAGAGGGGGACACCAGCCTCATTTGTGGACAGAGGCTTTGTTTTATGGTAGTACGTGGATGTTATATTTATCTTGAGATTTTAGTACATATGCTTTCTCATATCACAAAGCAAGGGATAAGTTAGTTGCATCTTATTTGTATTTGGTAATGTTACACTGAGCAAACTTGCAAGTCCAGATACAGAATCTGCAAAGGGTCATCCATTTTTGTTCTTGTCACCATTGTTCTCACTCACCCTGTGTCTTATCTGTAAAGTTTGTGCCACGAATCAATGAAAAAATTAATTATTGTCAAAAAGAATTCTTTGGTAATTTCGAAAATAAAAGTCTACCAGGAAACACTTGTTTCTAAGCAAGAAGTTCATTGTGACTATAAAACAAAAGTCCCAGATAGGGGACATTTGAATGAATATAAAATAACTGATTAGAGTTGTGAGTTGATTTATTTGGGTTACTACAGTTTTGAGCACCTGAAACATAATTTTAACCTAATTTCAATTAAGTAAGGCCAAGAAACCAGACACTTCTAATTTAATCACCTTATCACACATGAAAATTGTTAACTGGAAATTATATAAATTGCTCAGTAATATATGCCAACTTTGGATCTTTCTGGAACCTACAAATGAGAATGTTTGCAAATATTTAAAGAGACATCTCAGCTTAGCAAACCATAATTAGTGGTGTTTTATGAGGAACTGGAACTATTTGAATTGCCCGTGCATTTGGTCTTTCCATTTTTTCATTCAGTGAGCAATGTATTTCCCTTTTTCCACTTTGTGTATGGAATGAGGGTAGAAAACACCCATAATTCTATGCTTTTCAGAAGTATGGAACATACGCATCAGTTTAGAATACCCTCAAATGAAAGTCTTTGTCCTCATTTGGTCTTTTTTGTGGGCAATTTATAAACATGTATATTTAAATATAATGCTTTCTCCTAAAAGAAAAGCACATGAGCCCCAGATGAAAGTCTACTTAATGGGATTATGAATGGGGAGGCTTAGTTTTATTATTTGCCTCATTATCTCTCCTTACTGAAGTCATTTAATTGCTCCTTGTGCCTTTCTATAAAAAAAGAGCTGTATTTACTGGTCCTGTGTTAACTGGTCAAAGTGAGTCAAAAAATTGCATTCAGTATGATAGAGTCTAAATGAGTGAGGCAACATTATAATTTGCTGAGAGTTATTTGCAAATGTGAGTCTGCCCAAGGATGCTGGTCCAGAGGCACTAACATTGTGGGAAAGTTGTTGCAAGGGTTTAACCTAGAGATCACCATGTTTTGGGAGACCCCTAAAGTTATTTTTTCTCTTTTTATATTGAATTAACATTAAAATTTTGGCAGATTTCACATAAAATTCCACATTTCTATCTTCTGTTGAAATCTGGCCACACCAGGATGTATTCCTGCATAGGAGCAATCAGCTAGAAATGAGTGTTCATTGCCACTCTTGAAAAGGTATAACTTGGGGCACCTGGGTGGCTCAGTCAGTTAAGCCTCCGACTTCGGCTCAGGTATGATCTCACAGTCCGTGAGTTCGAGCCCTGCATCGAGCTCTGTGCTGACAGCTCAGAGCCTGGAACCCACTTCAGATTCTGTGTCTCCCCTCTCTGTGCCCCTCCCCTGCTCATGCTCTGTCTCTCTCTGTCCCAAAAATAAATAAAAACATTAAATAAAAAAAAATTAAAAAAAAAGAAAAGGTATAACTTTCCAGTATGTTACTGACCCATTCCATCCTACTGTTTGCCATAGATTTGCTATTGATCAGAAAGTTTGCTTTGTTGATTTCTTTTTACCTTGTACCTCTCTAAAGGGAATAAATGAAAACTAGAAAAGAAATGGTCTTTTTCAAGAAAATATGACTAAATATTTTTTTTGTTTCTAAAAGTAGAAATATTGACAGGTATTTATTTAATAGGGTTACACAAATAATGTTTGTATGTGTTAAAGATTATACCAACAGCTTTGCTTGTATAACTTAACACTTGGATCCTATTAGTGGATAAGTTTGAGTTCCAAGCTTCAGAAGCTCCCAGCCTGCCCCTGAGCTTGGCCTCAGATACCCTATAAATGGAATCTTCTCCCCAGAAGCCCTTGTCATGCGCTCTTTCCAGAACTGCTAAAGCTGTCCAGCAGTCCCTTTTCAGTTATTATTGCTGTCTAGCTGCCTCTTTGACCTTGATGCTCTGAATCTTTCCTCTCCTGGCCAGAACGGAAGCTCTTGTTTCATACATCCCCTGCACCAAAATTGAATGCCAGATGTAATAGAGTAATTCTCTCAATAAACTGCTCTTTGTTGAATATCTACTCTTTATCAGCTGTGTTGTAGCTCTGAGAGTGAAAAATGAACAAAATATACCCAGTTCAGGTCAATACATACCTTACATTCCAGAGGGAGAAACAAACAATAGACATACAAACAACAAATATATAATATACAGTTAGGTAAGTAGAGCTGTGAAGAAAAATAAAGCTGGTTAAGGAGATAGAAAGTAGAGATGGAGATGGGGAACTATTTGTATATGTGTTACCTTTAAAGAAGTAACTTTTGAACTGAGAACTGAATGAGGTTCAGAATGGAGTTATAGGGAGAAAAGCGTTCCAAATGGGTATAGCCAGTGTCAAAGTTCTGGAGCGGGAGCGTGCTTGAGACTGAAGAAGAGCAAGAGGTACTTTGGGAATGGTAGATGAAAGCCAGACATATAGGAGCTTAGAGACCATGCTAAGGGATTGGAATTTTATTCAAAGATTAATGGAAGTCATAGCAATCTTTTCTAGAAGGGAATTATCAGTTCTCATTTTCCACATCCAATCCAAGTTCTGACTTCAGAGATCCCTCTTTGGGGAGGAAAGAATCATATGGAATAAAACTCTTGTATTGAATTCAATTCTGATTCAATCTGATAATGATAACCTGTTTTAGCCAGTGATAGTACTAGATTATATCCACAAGTGTGCCCCCCTCCCACCCCTAACAACACTGTCACTGGCAAGAATAGGAATAGAAAAGTGACAGATGGGAAGGTAAAAAGTTATATATAAAACGGCATCAACTGCTCTCCAAAAACAAATGGAGTAGGATAAGTGGACTTAGCCTTGTTCAAGTGGTCAAATTGTACACTTTTTTAATTCATTTGCTATAGATAGTTGTATATATAGTCATGTTGTTTTCTCCTCAATGAGTAGCAAATATGATGGTTCATCTTACGGTTTTTTGACTTTACAATGATGCAGAAACAATACAAATTCAGCAGAAGCTGTAATTTGAATACTTAATTTTGATCTTTTCCCAGGCTAGTGATTTCTCCTCTCTGGATGCTGGGTAGGGCAGCGAGCCGCAACCCCCAGTCTTGTGATCACAAAGGTCAACAACCCATACACTTACAGCCATTTTGTGTTTCACTCTTAGTTCAGTCAAAAAATTACATGAGCTATTCAACACTTTAGTATAAACAAGCTTTGTGTTACATGATTTTCTCTAATTGCATGGTAATGTATGTGTTCTGAGCACGTTTAAGGTGAGTTCAGCTAAGCTATGACGTTTGGTAGGTTAAGTGTATCAAATGCATTTTTAAATTACAGTATTTTCAATTTATGATGGGTTTATCAGAATTTAAACCCATAATTGTAAGTCAAGGAGGATCTGTGCATACAACAACTTGAGCTTCTAAATATTTTGAAAAGTGGAGGTCTTTTGGTTATTACTAAAAGGAAGTAACTATTTACTAATTTGGTTCTTTTTAAAATATTTTATTAGTGCCCAGGAGGAGCATTTACGCCCAATATGCGAACCACTAAGGAGTTCCCAGATGACGTTGTCACTTTTATTCGGAACCATCCTCTCATGTACAATTCTATCTACCCAATCCACAGAAGACCTCTGATTGTTCGTATAGGCACTGACTATAAGTACACAAAGATAGCTGTGGATCGAGTGAATGCTGCTGATGGTAGATACCACGTCCTGTTTCTCGGAACAGGTAAGTATTTGAGCTCAAACTATACTATAATGTGTAGTCAAAGAGCATAATAGGTCAGGACCATAATATTGGAATCAGAGAGACTCCAGTAGTATTTCTGTCTGATTCTCACTGAGGTATTTAATGTCTCAATGCCTGTTACCACATCCGTAAAATGGAGTTAATAAAACAAATTACTGTATAGGGTTATTATGAGTAACTAGTGGAATAATATATGCAAAGCACCTAGAAGAGTCCCTGGCACATACTATAGTGAAATATAATAATTATGAGCTGAATGAAAGTATGGGTAGACTTTTAACCATGGGTTAGTGTTTCTCTCAACTGAACCAAATTCTGCAACTTTTAAAAATTTTTTTTAATTTATTTATTTTGAGAGAGAGAGAGAGCACAACTGGAGGAGGAGAAGAAAGAGAGAGAGAGAGAGAGAGAGAAAGTCCCAAGCAGGCTCCACACTACCAGTGCAGAGCCCATTGGGGGACTCGAACCCATGAACTGCAAGACCACAACCTGGGCCAAAGTTAGATGCTTAACCAGCAGAGCCACCCAGGCGCCCCTGCAACTTTTTAATAAATACACAGAGTCATTTTCCAGTGATAATGATAATGGTAGATGGTTCTAGATAACATTTAAAAGTGAATTTAATAACAAATATAGTTTTTTTAAAATGGTAGTATTTTAATATGTATTTTAATGGTAGTATTTTAATACATTCACAATTGTAGTTTTCCAATTTACTTTAATTGACTAGTTGAGTGAAAAATACTCTTGTTTGTAGACCTACACGAATGTGGAATGGCTGACCTTGTAGCAGGAGTTCTCAAAATGTGGTCCGCAGACCAACAAAATCAGTATAACCCAAGAACTTGTTAGAAATACAATTTCAGGCTCTAGTCCAAGAACTCTAGGGATAAGTCCCAGCGTCTGTATTTTAACAGGCCCTCCAGGTAACTTGATATACACTAAACTTTGAGAACCACTACTCTAGAGAAAAAAAAACTAGTTTGACAGGCAGTAATTAACATCTTTCAAACATTCCTGACTACCTTGCAGGAAGTGATGAAATCTCTTTACCTATAATATCAGAGCTACTTCATGAAATTAGGTAATTTCTCTACTAGTTTCAGAAATAGATCTCAAATGTGTCTGTAAACCTGATTTATAATATGTGCTGTGGTGCGGGGGTGCCTGGGTAGCTCAGTCTGTTAAGTATACAACTGTTGATTTTAGCTCAGGTCATGACTCACGGTTTGTCAATTTAAGCCCTGTGTCAGACTCTGTGCTGACAGCATGGAGTCTGCTTGGGATTCTCTGTCTCTCCCTTTCTCTCTGCCCCTCCTCTGCTCTCTTTCTCTCTCTTTCTCAAAAATAAATAACTAAACATTTTTTTAAAAAAACAGATATGCAGTTGTGCAATATGTATTCTGAGCTTTCAGGCTTCAATCAGTTTAAAATGTGGATATTTTTTCTTGGCTAAATAATACTTTCAAAGTGTGCCTTTCTTATGAAGTTCTTATTTTGTTCTTACACTTAAAACCCAGATCTGAATCTTTTAGTCTCATGTAATTTCAGTTTGTATTGGTCTGAGGGCAAGAATCTGCTGACATGTACTATTTGCATCCTGCTTCACACCTGGACGTATCTGTGTTTTTACTGATCCTCGCTTTGCTTGCCCTAAGAAATAATCCTTCCTTCCCAGATGAATCATTCTTCAGTGTTCTCAATTTTATCCTTTCCTGCTATCTCCAGGACCTTTCTTTATCACTTATTTTCTTATTCGCTTTATTTGTTCATTTCATTCTCTACTATATCTTTGGCATGGAAACCTTACACCAGGATACAAAACTAGACAACACCTCCACCTGTTGCCATCCCTGCTGTTCTGCCGATTTTGCCGAGGTGTTCAGTGTCCTCATAAGAAAATCCAATGACCTTAAACCAATGAAGTGCTTCCCTTTTCTCTTCGCATCACGTGGTATTGCAGAATCTCTCTTTACCTGCTGCTTCGGCCACAAGTAATATACCTCCCCTCTTTCCCTGGCAGTTCTGTTTCCTTCATTAGCCTAGCTTCCTCCGGCTGGTGAGCATAGGTATTCCCGAAGGCTCTGTCCACAGTCCTCTTCTTTTTACATATTCTTTGGCCATCTCATTTATTCATGTGATTTTAATTTTCCATTATGTACAAACAAATCCCAAATGTATATCTCTAGTCATTGCCATTTCCAGAGCTCAATATTTGCATTTACATCTTTTTAAAAATTTTTTTTTAATATTTTATTTATTTTTGAGACAGAGAGAGACAAAGCATTAACGGGGGAGGGTCAGAGAGAGAGGGAGACACAGAATCTGAAGCAGGCTCCAGGCTCTGAGCTGTCAGCACAGAGCCCGAAGTGGGGCTCGAACTCACGGACCGTGAGATCATGACCTGAGCCGAAGTCAGATGCTTAACCGACTGAGCCACCCAGGCACCCCATCTTATTTTTTTTTGTATTTTATTTTATTATTATTTTTTAATTTTTTTAAAGTCTTTAATTCCAGTTAGTTAACATGGAGTGTTAAAGTTTCAGGTGTACAATATAGGGATTCAGCACCTCCATTCATCACCCTGTGCTCATCACAGCAAGTGCACTCATTAAGCCCAATCACCTATTTCACCCATCCCCTCGCTCACCTCCCCTCTGGTAACCATAAGATAGTTTTCTATAATTAAAATTCTGTTTCTTACTTTGACTCTGTCTCTAGTTTTCTTTGCTTTTTTGTTTTGTTTCTTAAAGTCCACATATGAGTGAAGTCATATGGTATTCATCTTTCTCGGTCTGACTTACTTTGTTTAGCATCATACTCTCTAGCTCACATTGTTGCAAATAGCAAAGTGTCATTCTTTTTTATAGCTGAGTAATATTCCATTGTATGTGTGTGTGTGTGTGTGTGTGTGTGTGTGTGTGTGTGTGTATATATATGCAAATCCATTCATCACTTGATAGACACTTGGGCTGCTTCCATATCTTGGCTATTGCAAATAATGCTGCTATAAACATAGGGGTGCATGTATCCTTTTGAATTAGTGTTTTTGTATTCCTTAGGTAAATATCCTGTAGTGCAATTGCTGGTTCATAGGGTAGTTCTATTTTCAAATTTTTGAGGAAACTCCACACCGTTTTCTGCCAGTTTACATTCTCACCAATAGTACATCGCATGTTCCTTTATTTCCACATCCCCACCAACACCTGTGTTGTTGATTTACATCTTACTTTTAGAGAACACAGATTGTATAACTCCTTAACATTTCAAACATCATGCTTCAAACTCAACTTATCCACTCCTAAGACTCTCAAACTCTCAGACTCTTAATCAAGTCTCCCATATTTGTATTCTTACCACACATTCCTTTCAAGGTTCTGTTTGTCCTTGATATGTAATCTCTCTAGGCATATCACAGTGCCTGGTAAGCTCAATAAATATTTGTCAAGATGAATTGAATATCATGACTATATACATTGCTACTCATATAATGAAGTGAATTCATAACTATTTGCAAAAGTTATTCTTCATTTGCATATAAGCTGTGTTCTCCAAAGATGTAACCTCCATGTGGAGGACTTTGAAGAGTTGCTTTTAGCCTTGGCTCAATCATCTAACATGGAGTTTGCATTTAAAAAAAAATTCCTGAGTGAAGTGGTAAATTTTAGAGTCCTTCTTCTCCCTAATATCTTATATCACTCATAAAAAATGTTTTCTTTTTTTTTTTTTTCTTTTGGAACTTGTGTTAAAAGTGGACTCTGATGTCACAGTTGGGTTGTTTTCTCATGAAAGTCTGCATAAAATATGTAGATTTAATGGATGGAATTTTCAAGTCTTTATAAACCGTGTAGCAGTTTATTCAGATCGAAGGCAGTAAAAAACATACTTTTGCACAAATTCTTTGGCTTTCCTTACTACATAAGTATCTGGCACTTTTACATAGACTTTTTATGTCAGTATTTAAACATTTGTGTCATTTTGAAAAACAGTGTTTAGGGATATGTTTTTAATTGTACTGAGACGCTTCCCTAATGATTCCTTACAAAGCCACATGAGTCTCTGAAAGACTCTCCTCCAACAGGAGAGTACATGCTATGACAGTACCTCTGCCAACAGCATCTTTCTGAAGAGATGATAACTCACTTAACCATTGGATCTTGTCCCCATGGTCCTATCAATCTGCACTGTAATTTAGAAGCAGTGATTCCAATTTACCTGAAACTCTAACAGCCAGTATATTGGTATAGAAATATTTGTTGCCCAGGTAGTTTTTAGATCGCTGGCAAAACTTCTTCAAAAGAGTCCTCAGTGCTTGTTTGCTATTAAAAGTGAACAGAATAACCTTTTCTGAAATGGAATTTGGGAGAATTACAGGTCACTGCTCCCAAGGATTTCTTACCTTGTGTATCTAAATATCTTAGGAAGGAGATAAGATGTCATGGTGTTGCCAAATCCCTAATTACCAGAGAGCTTTTCAGCTGTTATAAGTAAATAATAATGTTGCAAATACTGCCAGAGGCAAGCTTCTCTCGTGGCTTCGTTTTCTCTTTACCGTTATGGAAAATTCAGAGGAATTCAATGAAGACATTAGCTGTCAAAGAAGATGCCATTAAAAAAAA